CGGAAAGAGTGGCATAGAGCTGATAAGCGAAACGACCCCCCCTCCCCAAGAAGGCCCAAACAAAAGTACCCTCCTCTCTCCTTCATCTTCGTTCGTGATGGTTCTGCTCTGAACGAGTGCAGTGACGTTTTAGGATTCCTGGGTTTCATTCGCGATGGCTCAAAAGCCGGAAGAACAGCTGAAGGAGGTTGGATCCAAGCTCGACCCACCTCCTTCCTCCAAGGACGCTCTCCTCGAGCTCTTGAAGGTGCTTTTTCTTCCCTAATTCCCCGTCAATTCTTCTTCTGCAGTTGTCCTCTCTTGTTTCGGCGGACATTTTCATCTTCGTTCCTTGTTTGAATTGCGTCTAAGTACGATTGGACGAACATTTTCAGCTGTTTAGGTTGCCTATCCCGGGTCTATTACTCGACAGAGCTAGCGTCTGTCGGTTGATTTGGGGTTAGGGCTATTTTGTACCGTTTTTCTGGTGTCATGGCGAAGGATATGTTGTGTCCCGTAGATTAACGCTTTCACAATATTAGGTCATGTTGACGACCTAGGATCTGCTCGCTTCTTACTGCTAATCTAGGCTTCTCCTTTAGTTGAAATGTAAGGCTTTTTGCAAATTCTCATCCACAATTTTTCGTTAGAGATCAAATTCAATCTTTACGTATTTTCCTTCTCAAAACTGTCTTTGATAAGCTGCTAGACATCAAACGCCAAAATTTTTAGGCTTCAGTTATTTTCCCATGTCGGGTTTCCTTGAGTCGTCTTCCACTCTGGAATTGGATTCCGCTTCCAGTAGCTTTTTGAGCGTATAAAATGTCTGCCTTGACTTGTGAACATTGCTTTGAATGGAGGAATATGTGCTTTATATATATTGCTCCTTCTACTTTGGTTAAGATGGTAGCTTATCAGTGAAGAAAAATACTACATTTTTGGAAGCAATTGGGAAGTTCATATACTTAATGAAGATTCTATTTTCTTTGGTTTTCAGTGAGATGTTTTGGTTAGCTTATTTTAGTAGGATGCTGTGATACACATCTAATTCTTTGCTTGATGTAAAAGTTTTCTGGTGAGGAGTTGAGCAAATCAGCATTCAGGTTATCTGATCAATGGTTTGATCATGGAATGTTACTCATTTAGAGGCATAGGCTTTCTGGTATCTTTTTAATATTTCTCTTTAATTGTCGCTCTCCTCGGATGCTGACACTGTAATGTGATGATGATAGTTCAAATTTGAGCAAGTAAGTGATAGGTCTAATCTTTTTGCTTGTAGAAGTTATTCATGGGGCTCAAATTCTCCCCTCCATTATATCAATGCACTTTTAATATCTTGCCCTATATTACTTAGGATTGATTTTCAAACTGTTTGTTGCTACCTACAGCAAGCTGCTGATTGTCTTTCTGAGTTCGATCAGTCACCACCAGCACCGGTGATGAACTCCATGCAGCCTTTTCTTGATGCAGTTGTTAAACCTGAAATTCTTAAGCATCAAGACAAGGATGTTGAGCTTCTAGTTGCTAGTTGCATTTCTGAGATAACACGGATCACAGCCCCTGAAGCCCCTTACGGCGATAATATTATGAAGGTTTGTTAGTCCTGAATTTACTTTTGCGCAATAGTCACGGACATGGCCATCATTGATTTCTTATGTACACTTTTTTTTTTGGTTGCAGGATATCTTTCAATTGATTGTGAGCACTTTTGGTGGGTTGAATGATAATGGTAGCCCATCATTAAGAAGAAGAGTTGTCATTTTGGAAACGGTTGCAAAGTACCGGTCATGTGTTGTAATGTTGGATCTTGAATGCAATGATCTGGTTACTGAGTTGTTTACTACCTTATTCGCTGTTGCCAGGTTTGTTTACTTCCCATATAGTTTTTCTGTTGCATTGGTGATGAAAGGATATCCGATTTACCTCAGGGCCTATCTCTACCTCGCTGCATGAGTCATGACACGATTAGATTCTTATATTGCCAATTTTTGCTTATGGTCAGAGTTTTCAGCTGGTGATGCAAGTTATGAATGCTTTTGGTTTTCCTTTGCTGCTCTTCGGACTGAAAGATTGATTTTTGTTCCTACACAGAGATGACCATCCAGAAAACATTCTGTCATCAATGCAAAATATAATGGTTGTTCTTTTGGAAGAAAGCGAGGACGTTCAGGAGCATCTCTTACTAATTACACTCTCTAAACTGGGCCGCAATAGAAGTGTGAGCATTTCTCATTTCAGCGGCTTGTCACTAATATTATACTCAACTAGGTTCTGTCTTAGCATAGACAGTGTAGCAGCTGATTTTCTGGATTTATGATGACAGGACATTACAGCTGCTGCGAGAAAACTTGCTATCAAAGTCATAGAGCAGTGTGCACCAAAACTTGAATCGGATATAAAACAGTTCCTTATCACTTCAATGTCTGGAGAGAGCAGGTTGTCGAACAGTCAAATCGACTACCATGAAGTTATCTATGATTTATACCGTTGTGCTCCTCAGACCCTAGCCGGAGTTGCACCATATCTCATGGGAGAACTATTGGTATCTATTTATTTTCGTCTTTTGCCTCTATTAGATTTTTCAAGTATCGGCTTGGCGATTCTTGGCTGATACCATGCATCAATTCTTTACTCCCTAATTAGATTTTGTAGAATTGTTTTCTTTTGTATTTCTGTATTTTGATGACCAAAGAACTTACATTCTTTTATCTTTTCAATTCACCATCTTTATGTTGTCTGAGTACATCTTCTGAAGTAATATTTGTATTGAGTCATATATACAATTCTTTTATTCATGTTAAGAAAACACTTTCAGGCTGATCAGTTGGAAACTCGTTTAAAAGTGGTGGAATTGGTTGGAGATTTGTTTTCCTTGCCTGGATCTGCATGTTCTGAAGAATTCCGTTTGATCTTCTTGGAGTTTCTGAAAAGGCTGTCTGATAGAGCGGTTGAAGTTAGAATGTCTATCCTTGAACATATCAGGAGCTGTTTGCTCTCCGATCCTTCAAGAGAAGAGGCTTCTCAAATAATATGTAAGTCTATCTCTCTGCTATGTCTTATTTCTGCATTTTGTTTCACTGTCAGAACTATACATACATCTGAAAATACTGATCTGATAGTTTTAATCTTTTTCTAGCTACTCTATGTGATCGGCTCCTGGATTACGATGAAAATATACGCAAGCAAGTTGTTGCTGTTATTTGTGATGTGGCTGCAAATGCACTGGGTTTGGTGCAGGTTGACACTATAAAGCTAGTTGCTGAGCGTCTTCGAGACAAAGCCGTCTGTGTTCTATTCTGTCCTTTTTTCTTTTGCTATTAATCTTGTTCCTAAAAGTTCCAGAAATTTGAGCTCATGATTCATTTCTTAATTTCAGGCACTGGTTAAAAAATACACTTTGGAGAGGCTGGCTGATTTGTTCAAGGTATATTGTCAAAGTTGTGCTGATGGAAAAGTTTGCGTTGGCGAGTTTGATTGGATTCCTGGAAAGATTTTGAGGTGTTTTTATGACAAAGATTTTAGGTAACATTTTTGTAGAATGCTTTTTGCATTAGACATTTTTCCTTTTTTGCATTATTCAGTCAACTCTAGTGTGTTTGATCATAACCTTTGGAAAATGTATGTTAAATGTTTTGCAGATCAGACACTATTGAACATATTCTATGTAATTCATTGTTCCCGAGTGACTTCACAATAAGAGATAAAGTTAAGTGCTGGGTACAAGTGTTTACAGGATTTGACACAGTGGAGAGAAAAGCTCTTGAGAAGATACTGGAGCAGAAACAAAGGTCTGTCTTTTTATGACAATTTTAATACTTGCCAAATCTGTATGATGAAAGATCATCCTATCCTTTTCTGTTTGATATACTTTATATAGCTATTGATTCTGGAGAGACTTCTTGAACTTCAGGATACAACAAGAAATGCAAAAATATTTGTCTTTCAGACAGATGGAACAGGTGAGACTAATACTATACCTTGTAGAAGAGCTTTATTTTTTTTTTCTTAGTTACATTCCGTGATTATTTTAAGATTAGAACTGAGATACTTGTATTCTTGTGCAACTGCAGGATGTGGATGTTCCTGAGATTCAGAAAAAGATTCTGTTTTGCTTCAGAATGATGTCACGTACATTTTCTGATCCCCCGAAGGCTGAACAGAATTTTCAGATCCTTGCTCAATTGAAAGATGCTAATATCTGGAAGATTTTGTCTAATCTGCTTGATCATGACACTAGCATAATGGAAGCATCCAAGCATCGGGTGAGGACAAGTTTGTGTGTATGTGTATTTAAAAATACGTGATAATGTTTAACATATTTCTGGTTTGAATGTTTGTGCAGAATGATGTGCTTAAAATAATTTCTGAGCAGCATCGCCTCTATGATTTTCTTGTCACTCTCTCCATAAAGTGTTCTTATCTACTTTTCAACAAGGAACACGTGAAGGAAATATTAGCAGAAGTCTCTGCTAGAAAGTCTGCACAAAATCCTTTGAGCATTCAGTCTTGCATGAGCTTGTTAGGGGTAATAAATTATCTGAAATACTTTTGTTTAACAACTCTGTAGCTTTTGTTGTAGCTTGATGATTTAATATCCTTGTGGTGCATTTACTTCAGTTCTTCAATCAAAATCAAGTCCACCTGAACTATCTTTTTACGTTTGTTTCAGATTCTCGCAAGTTTCTGTCCCTCATTGTTTATTGGGGTTGAAGCGGAATTGATAAGTTTCCTGAAAGATGATGATGAAACAACAAAAGAAGGTGCTTTAAAAATTTTGGCGAAGGCGGGTGGTACTATTCGTGAAAATCTCACTGTTTCATCAAGGTGAAACTCTTAACTCCTGATGGATAGGGATGTCGATATCAAGACATTTAGAAAGTGTATGATGATCAATAAGAGGAGTTTACTTCATTTGTCGGATCTAGGGCCCATTTGTCTTTATTCTCATGTTATTTCTATTCTTCACTTGAAGCTCTGTGGATTTAATGCTGGAGAGGATCTGCGTAGAAGGTAGTCGTATGCAAGCAAAGTATGCTGTGCTTGCTTTAGCATCAATAACAAAAGATGATGGACTCAAGTCCCTCTCCGTTCTATACAAGGTGACCCTTCTGATTTATCACGAATTACTGATAAATAATGGTACTATCTCTCTAGTTGTTAGTTAGCATGTGCAAAATCTGATTTTTAGTGCTTTATGTGTAGAGACTTGTGGACATGCTGGAGGACAAGACACATCTTCCAGCTGTACTTCAGTGTCTTGGATGTATAGCTCAGATTGCTGTGCCAGTTTTCGAGACTAGAGAGGCTGAAGTAGTGGAATTTATTAAAAGCAAAATTCTTAAATGCAAAAGTGTATGTGTTAGACGTTTTGGTTTTCTGCAAGACCTTGTTAGCTCTGTAACTTGTTTTACATGTAGCTTTCTTTTCATTATTTTTACTGGAGAATACTACTTTCTTTTCAGGAAGCTGTAGGTGACAAAAATTCGTCCTGGGATGACAAAACTGAACTTTGTCGACTGAAGGTTGGCCTCTTTCAAACAGCTCTTTTCAACTGTTTTTGATTAAAATTTCAGTCTCTTATTAAATGCTTGACTGATTTCTGAACTTTTTGGTTAAATTGGGAAATCTTACTTGTCAGATATATGGAATTAAGACATTGGTGAAAAGCTACTTGCCTTTTAATGATGCTCATCTCCGTGCGGGAGTTGATGACCTTCTTGGATTACTCAAAAACATACTTTCTTTTGGAGAAGTATCTGAAGATATAGAATCAAGGTTGGTAGAGTGTGTCTGTTAACACTGATTTTTTTTAATTTGTTTAGTTTTTTTGTAAACTTGTTTTATTTGGTGAAACTCATGTGCCCATTCTCTTTGAGTTCGTACAGTTCCAATGACAAGTCCCATTTGAGGCTTGATGCTGCGAAGGCAGTCCTCCGTCTTTCTAGGCACTGGGAAGATAAGATACCGATGGATGTCTTCCATTTAACACTTAAAACACCTAAGGTGCTGTTGCATATCCTGCAATTAAGATTTTCATTCATACGAAACTTAAATCTTATTTTTGGGCTGTCAGGCGTAGATGCTTAAGCCTTTTCCTCCTTTAACCTTTCTCCTGTAGATTTTATTTCCTATGGCTAGGAAAATATTCCTGGGAAAAGTTCATCAATATGTGATGGATCGGCTTTTGGATGTGAAGTATGCCTGTTCATTTTTATTTGACCTTGCTGAATCAAAGGTTCTTGAATCAGATGAGGTATTTTGTTGTGCTTGACGTGTACATATGTGGCAATTTTTAGCTGTTAATATTTTCTCTAAACTACGTGTATGGACTGGCTTAACAGGGAAAACAGAACCTTGCTGACATCATTCAACTATCTTACCAATCAAAAGCACGTCAAATCTCTGCACAGCCTGATACAACTTCAGCTAATCTGTACCCGGAGTACATCCTTCCTTATTTGGTTCACATGCTTGCTCATCATTCTTGTCCTGACATAGACAAATGTCGGGATGTCAAGGAATACGAAATGATATATCGGTAAATTTTTCTTTATTTAATGGCATGATTCAATTTGCATCTTTGTTAGGCACCGGAAAGTAAAGAGTTGCCAACATTACTGTAACTGACTTGTTAAAGGCTTAAAGCAATGTGTCCTGCAGCCATTTTTTTTTCTCTTTCTAGGACATTCTAATGCACTGCTCATTGGCCGTTATTTCCCTTGGGTACTCGAAGTAGTATTGATATTTGTTGGTAGCTTGGATTGGAGCTTTCTGACTTTATCCAGTTGTTTATTTCAGCCAATTATACTTGATCATTTCTATGTTGCTCTGCAAAGAGGACGATGGTAAGTCTGAAGATAATACCAAGGAACCGGAGAACGTACCCACCATAATTAGCATCTTTCAGAGTATAAAACAGTCAGAAGATGTCATGGATGCTACAAAGTCAAAGGTTTGGAACATATTTTGCTCCTAAATTTGTACTGTTTTAACAACTGCATTTGATGATTATTTTGATAATCGTTCATAGATGGCTGGTCTATTTGATATGATGCGTTTGAACTTACATGTCATGATGTAAATTCACAGAATTCACGTGCAATATGTGAGCTTGGACTGTCAATTGTCAAACGCTTAACTGAGAAGGAACTTGATTTGCAAGGGATGGCGGCATCTGTCTCGTTGCCTCCAACACTCTTTAAACCTTATAAAGAAAAGGAAAGTGGTGACTCTCAGGTAAGAATCCTGATTTTTCTCATGGTTTCTTTTTAAACTTACGATTCTGCATGTTGGTTAACCTTCAAGTAATCTTTTGGCCATCTGAGTTATCTATGGTTTGTTGCTTTTGATATTTGATGTTTTTTACTGCATGACATCCTGTTTCAACAGGTGTGTGAAGAGCATATATGGTTGGCTGACGAGACAGTGCTGGCACATTTTAAGTCTCTGAAGCTGGAGAATGATGCATCTGTATGTTTTTCAACTCAACAACCTCTATGATTGTGGTCGTATTTGGTGATTACTGTATTAATTACTACCTTTCCTCTCAGGTAACACCTGAAGCTGCTGAGGCTGAGGATATAAAAGATGGGGAAAGTGATGGGAACGAAGTACCTTTGGGAAAGATTGTAGAGCGTTTGAAATCTCAAGGAACCAAAGGTGGAAGGGCTAAAAAGAATAAACCTCTACCTGCTGAAGCTGAGAACGGTGAAAATGATGTCGATATATTGAAAATGGTGAGGGAAATAAACCTAGATCAGATGGGAATGCTGAATAAATTTGAATCCAGTAATGGTCAGAAGCAATCTCCTGACAAGAGAGCAGGCACAGATCAAGGAGATAAAAATGCTAACAAGAGAAAGGCTGGTGATGAAACATCAGTAATTTCGGTACCTAAGCGCCGGAGGTCCTCTTCTGGTCATATTCCTTTCAAGTTTTCAAACACCAGTCCTAAGTTCCGACAGGAAGATTCAAAAGATGAGTTTCAACAAGAAAGAGATATTTCTTGGGACACAAATGACCAAATTTCTGGGCGGAAAAAAGGGATGGAAAGCACCAGTTCCCTGAAGAAAAAGAAAGGCCTCTCATCAGATCTCAAGACTATAGGATCTGACTGGGGTTTCAGTGATGAAGAAAACGAAAGCAAAGGTGCTGATCACATTGAGAGGGTAAGCATCTCCAACATCATCATCATTGTTTCAATTTATCATGTTTTAATACTTTTTTGCTGCGCAATAATTACACATACTCATTTATCTTGAGCAGAAGCAAAGTAAGTTGGCAAGAAGTGGTGATAATATATTGAAGTCTGCCTCTGGATCAATGCAGAATCAGAAAAGAAAGAGCATCTCTGGTCTGGCAGAGGTACAAACTTTTACCTCTTACTAATTTATGATTGTCTCTTTATTACTTGTTTGACGCTATATTAACAATCTTTTCTGACTTGGTTTCTCGTTGCAGTGCCCTTTGAAAGAAAATAAACCAGTGGCTGATGAATTGATCGGTTGCAGAATAAAAGTGTGGTGGCCTTTGGATAAAAGGTGAGCATTGTTTGAGTGACTCTATTTAATTTGAAAGTGCGAAAGTGATCTCGTTGGAAAGAAACATTGTATTTCCTTTGTAGCTTTTCTTCTTTGAATGTATTGGATTATACAATTGTGAGCACCACTGAGCTAGATTTTCTTGGAGCAACTCTTCTTATAGCATTCAAGCTCAGCCTAATTCAGTTTGTTTTCCTCTCTTCTTTATTTGGCATCATTCTGAGTGCTTGTTTTGCTAAGCATCTGTTGCCCTTATTAATTTCTGAAATGGACAGTATTCCTTCTAATTGTGGCTTACCAGAAATTGCTTATCTTGTTGAAATTAACAGGTTTTATGAAGGCATGGTGAAATCCCATGATCCAACTAAACATAAGCATGTGGTAAGCTTTCACCTCCCATCTTTTCCTTGGGGTTACTTGGACCATCCAATTTCCTCATCTATCCATATGATGTGTCAGATTCTGTATGATGATGGAGATGTTGAAGTACTTCATCTGGAGAAAGAACGTTGGGAGCTTGTTGACATGGGTCGAAAGGCCACAAAGGTTCCAGAATTATCTATATTGATGACCATTATCGAATTAACTTCACTGTTCCTTTTAGCATGCTTAGCTGGCTTCGATTGATATTTCCGATAGATTGATAATTTTCCTTATAATTTTTGTATTTTCTGCAGAAGTTGAACTCATTGAAAAACTCTCCTCATAAGAGAAGGTATGACCTTTTCTATACACTAAAGCATTACAATGGTAACACGTTATATTCTTTTTGATATATTTTTTTCGTTAGACTGGTATGACACTGCAGTATCGGCTCTTGTGTTTCATCTATTCATTGCTTACAGATCTGCTGAAAGCAAACATAAGCATTCTGATGGTTCTTGGGAGAATAAGGACCCAATTACGACCACGTAAGTGAAAGCCTGATCTAGAACTCCAAACGTAAGCTGTTAATTGTTATTCTGTCACATTTGTGTTTATTTTATTGTTTCCTGACTGTTTCCCTTAGACCAAAAAGAAAGAGGACTCCAAAGAAAAACTTGAGACATAAACAGGAAGGCACATCAAGAAGTCTCTCTGCAGAAGCTGAAAAAGAAGAGAGGGCAGACAAGAAAAATAATGCATCTGCTATGTCATGTAAGCTCCATTGGATTGTTTTGTTCGAATATACGTTCACTTTCACCATTTCCTTTGTTCCAACTAACTTTTATTTCACCTATGTATAACCCAATGGATGTACCTATCACAGTGCAGTCATTTTATTCCTAGTTGTTCTGTATATTTTAGATGTTTCACCCGGGAAGGCTGCTGAAACAATGGATGGAAACCCGACAGACAGAGAGGAGTCTAAAGGAAAATCCGGGAATGAAGAGGAGACTGAAGAATGTGAAAAGAAGAAAGATTTACAGGGAGAAGAAGCCGAGTCAAGTGCAAGCTTCAGAGGGGATGAAACTGAGGTTGACAAATCAGAGTCCGAAGATATGGAAGAGAAAGATGAAATTGAGACAGGACCAGAAAACCATGCTGGGGATACAGATATTTCCGACAACGAGACTCTGGTATCTGCCTCTCAAGCCCTACCCTTAAACTTTGCCAGCATCTTATATAAGCCGAAATATATGAGAGAAAGAGAGAGAGTTCCTGGTCTCTGATGGTTGTTTGCTCTTATGAAAATGTGTGCAGGGGGCATGGAAACTTAAAGTGTGTAAAGCAAACCGGAGGAAAGCAACATAGGTATGGAATTGAAGTGGATGCTGACGCAATGCTGCAGTTGTCTTTGGACGGCAGGATAGGTGGTGGGAATGTAAAAAAGGTAGACGAGGAAAAGGAATGACCTTGTATTATATATTTGGAGGGTAGAAATGTAAGATTTGTGTAGGAATGAGAATATTGGGAGGGGGGGGGG